TCTTCAGCATCAGGGTCTTCTTCTCCAGTGAGGGCTCCCTTCTCATTGGGTGGCCAAAGGATTTGAGCTTCAGTTTCATTATCTGGCCTTCCAGGGAACAGTCAGGGTTGATTTCTTTGAGGGTTGATTTCTTTATAAAATGCCACCTATTAATTCACACATAAGAATTTCAATATTATAAACAGATCACAATACATTCAGAGAGTCACAATACATCAATACCCTGTGACTCGATGTAAAAAAAAAAATATATATATATATAGCCGGACACTTTGACCAGTGCACTGCGCTGGTCCACGCACATGGAATCAACAAAACTCATCTATTCAAAGGAAAATGGTTCATCGGCTACAGATCGTGCTGCCGGCTTTCAGCCCCACTTCCCCCCCCCTCCTTGTACCCCTGCTCTCTTCCCCTGCAGTGTGCAGGTAACTCCCTCCAAGAGGAGGCATGTTTGGGGCCCAGGCGTAGTCGTGAAGGGCCAGAGAGGAAGATGACTGCGATGGGTACGTGTCTGGGCCCTGAAGCGTTAATGCCAGTGCTTTGACATCGATCTGACAGTGGAAGATTAACTCTGCAGCTCGACAAGATGAAAGATGCCGAGGTTGGGGAGGGAAAGATCAGATATTGATCCCGGGCTCAGAACTCTTATGATGCCGAGGGGGTGGGAATACATCGAGCTGTTTCTCATCTCCGTCTCTCTCTCTTTCTCTCTCGGCTTCCATTTGCATCGGTGGGGAAAGGAGGAATTGGGATCACGAGAAAATGTCTGTCGAAAGCTAGAGGCACCTTGGTGTCGGTACGCAAGGGATTCTGGGAGCCTTTACAGAAGGCATCCGGTGTTTCCGTACCTGTGGGCCGTGTCCCAGAAGTGGGTCATGAAACCGCTGAAAACAGGCCATGGGCCAGCCTTCCCTAATGGTCGCCGGTGCCCTTTTCTTTGCTCTCTTTTGTATTTAAGGTGAATCCTATATGTTGGAAACAGTGTTCCCTGTAAGCTGAGTGAGTGTGAGCCAGCTCACAGTTTTTTAGCCTCCGGCTCACGCATTTTTGTCTTGGCTCAGGAAGGAGGGCTCCAGAAGAGCAAACTAATTTCTGCAGCAGCCCAATCGCTCGCTCACAACTTTAATGCCAGTAGCTCACAAAGTTGAATTTTTGCTCACAAGACTCCACAGCTTAGAGGGTCGGCTGCTGTGGCCAAGTAGGGTCTTTTATATACTGGTGGTGGTGGAGATGGCCAAAGATTTGTGCATTCTGGTCTTCTGTACTTAAAGGTAAAGGTTCCCTTGCTCGAAAGCCAGTTGAATCCGACTCTAGGGTTGCGGTGCTCATCTCCGTTTCAAAGCCGAAGAGCCAGCGCTGTCCGAAGACATTTCCGTGGTCATGTGGCCGGCATGACTAAACACCAAAGTGCACGGAACGCTGTGACCTTCCCACCGAAGTGGTACCTATTTATCTTCTTGCAATTTCTTGCTTTCGAACTGCTAGGATGGCAGGAGCTGGGACTAGA